CTCTAATTGCTGTATATACATAATGTAACATATGTGGGATTTAGAAATCAAAAATGGTATTTATGTTTTAAAAAAATGCACGCATATATAGAATTATTGATGTTTCGCCTTCCTGCTTGAACCTTTTGAAAGTAGTGATTATGTAATGGATCAATGATGCTATGATAAGAGTGTGGCTGGGAGTGGAGGAGTAGGGCAGGTTTATAGGAGAGCACACAGACGCAGATTTATTATGATGAAAAAGGAAAAGTTTATTATGTTTAGTAGAAAAAGAAATAGTTTTCATCAGCTAATATGAGTTTCCTCTGTGCTAGGGCCTACAATTCTGTTTTGACTGTAAAGCTGGAGTAGGCAATATTTGAGAGGCGAAGATCTACCTGAACAACATGAAAGATCAAAGATCACGGGATTCAGCGCCATTTGTTAAAAAGATATTAACTAACAAGGCTTAATTAAATAGTAAAGAAAACTTAAAAAAAAACATAAACAAAAATCACTGTAAAAATATAAACTTAGCCTATCTTAAACGTGGACAGTGTCAGTAGAGCAGTGGATGGTGTCAGTAGGCCAGTGGGCGATGTCAGTCAGTAGAGCAGTGGATGATGTCAGTAGACAGTGTATGGTGTCAGTAGAGCAGTGGATGGTGCCAGTAGGGCAGTGGACAGTGTCAGTCAGTAGAGCAGTGGATGGTGTCAGTAGACAGTGGATAGTGCCAGGAGGGCAGAGGATGGTCTCATTAGGACAGTGGATGGCATCAGTTAGTAGAGCAGATGATAGTGTCAGTAGGGCAGAGGATGGTGTCAGTAGAACAGTGGATGGCATCAGTTAGTAGAGTAGATGACAGTGTCAGTAAGGCAGAGGATGGTGTCAGTAGGACAGTGGATGGCATCAGTTAGTAGAGCAGATGATAGTGTCAGTAGGGCAGAGGATGGTGTCAGTAGGGCAGTAGACATATCAGTAGGACAATAGACGGTGTCAGTTTGTAGAGCAGTGGATGATGTCAGTAAACAGTGGATGATGTCAGTAGGACAGTGGGAGGTGTAAGTAGGACAGTGGACAGTGTCAATCATTAGAGCAGTGGATGGTGGCAGTAGACAGTGGATGGTGCCAGTAGGGCAGAGGATGGTGTCATTAGGACAGTGGATGGCATCAGTTAGTAGAGCAGATGACAGTGTCAGTAGGGCAGAGGATGGTGTCAGTAGGGCAGTGGGTGATGTCAGTCAATAGAGCAGTGGACAGTGTCAGTAGGACAGTGGACTGTGTCAGTCAGTAGAGCAGTGGATGGTGTCAGTAGACAGTGGATAGCGCCAGTAGGATGGTGTCATTAGGACAGTGGTGGCATCATTAGATGACATTGTTAGTAAGGCAGAGCATGGTGGACATGGATGGCATCAGTTAGTAGAGCAGATGACATTGTTAGTAAGGCATAGCATGGTGTCAGTAGGACAGTGGATGGCATCAGTTAGTAGAGCAGATGACAGTGTCAGTAAGGCAGAGAGCATGGTGTCAGTAGGACAGTGGATGGCATCAGTTAGTAGAGCAGATGACAGTGTCAGTAGGGCAGAGGATGGTGTCAGTAGGGCAGTAGACATATCAGTAGAGCAGTGGATGGTGTCAGTAGGAAGTGGATGGAGTTAGTAAGGCAGAAGTTGTTGTCAGTAGGACAATTGACGGTGTCAGTTTGTAGAGCAGTGGATGGTGTCAGTAGGCAGTCAGTTGTGAATGAATACAGTCAGTGATTGGTACTAAACGCTGACTCTGTTCATTCAGAAAAAGCAAGAGGCCCCTTCCCCCACTCTCCATCCTGAAACATTTCCCACAGCAGCTTGTGGAAGAGGAGAGGAGGGGGGTCAACAGTGCTTTGGGGGGGGGGGGGGACAAGGGAGCACACAGGGGGATGGGCAACAGAAAAAAGAACCTTGAAGAGGAGGAGCAGTGGGGGGGGGCAGCATTTAATGGATTTTTGATCGGCTGTATTTTCCTCCCTGCAGCAGCTGAATGCTGGTGGGAGGGAGAGGAGGAGAATCCGACATTACCTGCATTCAGCTGCTGCAGGGAGGAAAATAAAGATGATCGGTTCCACTAAATGCTACTCCCGCCACCCCTCCTCCCCAGGTTCTGGGGTCTGCAACCAAGAGATGCAACCTAGCCGTCACCTGCCCATGATTGATGGGTAGATTACAATTGACAGGTTGCTGATCACTGCTGTAAAGGAATCATTAGAACCCTACCTGAGATCTTTGTACCTTGTAACAGTCTTGGTAGATGATGAGATTATTTTAATTGGCCCCGTATAGCAGTGGGACGTCTATAGTACCTTCTGGGATATTTCTGACCAAGCAGTGCTTTTATGTTGGGATGTATGCTGGCCATACATCCTTCAATATATAATTAATTTATTTTCTAATACATCACTTCCAATAGGGAAAATCAATCTCTAGCCAAGGAAAAAATTCAATTGATATACCATAGACAGAGAAATTTCAAGACAGATTTCAATTGATAGTTAAGGGTGGCCACATCATAAAATGGATATTGTTATCCAATTGATTTGCAATTTAATAAAAACAACTGAATCTGCAAAAAAAAGCAAAAACTTTCCTTATGGCCATTTTTTGTTGATCGGCCGTTATCGATCATTTTGCACTGATCATCAGCATTGAGATACTTTGCTCAAAATACGATCAGATTCGAATGATCAGATTATGAGATTACATGGTAGAAACAGACATGTAATCTGCTACATTTCTTTGGTGGAATTACCCCAATACGGTGAGTTTTTTTAGTCTGTAGGAAAAGTCCACAAACTATGGTATATATATAAAAATCAATCAATCCTGATGTATTGACTTGAGGCCCAAAAATGCCAGGACAGTACAAATGTCCCCCTAATTACCCCTTTTTGGAAAGTAGACAGTCTGAGATATTTAGTAAGAGGCATGGCAAGTTTTATGAAGCTGTAGTTTTTTGTCAAAATGTTTTGAAAAATTAAGAATTTTTTTTCACAATTGTTTTCTTAACATACTGTCAGCAGTGCAGTACAGCAACATCATATTACTGGTGTGACGGTAACCAGGGACACTGACTGGTGACAGTATGTAAAAAAAAAAAAAAGAAATATTTTCCATTTCCTCCATTTTCATTTTAATCTTTTAAATTTTTTCATTTTTTCTTTTTTATTACATTTGATTTTTATTTGAGCAATATAATGATAACATAGTAAGATGGTATACTTTGGGGAAGTGATCTGGATTTTTATTTTTTTTTACATATTACGATTGCTTATACCAATGAATTTCACTGTTACAAGCAACCATTTTTACTGAATGAAATTGATTAATTCAATGTGTATTGTTGTGATTAACTTTGATTGTCCACAGACTGTGATTGGCCCTGTCTGTACCATGTGATCACTGTGAACAATCACAGCTAGCAACACAACTGTACACAATGAATGGCATGAATTGAAGCCATTCATTGTTTACAATTGTCATGTGATCTGCTGTGATTGGTCACAGCGATCACATGGTATTGGCAACAGCCAGGTACAGTAATCTGTCATCGGCTGTATACGATGGACATAGCACGGGACAGATGGCTGTGCGCAAGGTGCCATCTGGGAGGATGTCATATGATGTCCACGCAGAACAACTAAAGTCTGCCTGGCCGTCATTTTACAATAGTTCGGGCAGGTAGTGGTTAACATTTTCTGGGTTAAAAGTATTTTTTACTCTGTGAACTGCATTATTTAGTTAATGTTGCCCAGAAACAGTGGCACTGTCAGAGAGTAAAGGGTTAACCCTGCTATTCAGGCTTTCCCGGGCTTTTATGAGAAGCACCGTCCTCTGCTGGACAACTCACTGACAGTATGATTATAGGTTTCCGCTAATGCACAGTGGGTGGAGGCAATATATAGCAAAGAAACTAGCATATAAAGTGAATGTCAAGCCATTTTTGTTTCTAGGAGGGGAGGAAAATATAACTCTGTACTACCGTTCATCAAAGCGGAAGAAAGCAAAAATCTGCAACAGGAACACAGAGCAAATTAAAATCTTACAGGGGTTCTAGACTTTCCTTGTTCTACTTAAGAAAAACTTCTTTTTTCCGTCTGTGTTGCTGTTGGAGAGTTATCCCCACTTCCTGCCTGGTGAAACAGGTTAGCAGGACAGGATACGAGGGTGAATCTCTAAAAAAAAAATCCCGGATAGCAGTAAAAACCTACCACACATCCTGATCCCTCCCCACTCTATCCAAAACAAAAAAGAATGGGGCTGTCTTTCACGTTACATACAGTAAATTAAAGAGGCTGTAAACCTGAAACATGAACAAAGCATATCCCTCTACAGTGTGTACTTGCCCCATAACATTAGGTGTCATTTCTGTCTGCTGCCTTATTCCTTTCCTATCGGGATGAGTCACTTCTGACAAGTTTTCCTGACACCAAAAGAAACAAGGTGACAGGGGAGGAAGCTCCAGCAGGGAACATGTAATTGACAGCCTCAGCTCTGTTCTTGTGCACTATGTGAAGGGGGTATGTCTCTTCCATCCAGTCAGCTCTCAATGAGCTCTGCAGCCTTCAGCTCCCACCTCCTGCTTTTTGAAAGCTCGGAAATGCTGTATAAATTCTGCACTTTTTTATAGTATGTAGAGCAGAGATGTATGTTTTTTTTCATTTCTGTGTATCACCTGAGCCTATTCACTGCACTGGGTATATGTAACGTTTTACGACTTTAAATCCCAATTTCATTAGAATTATTACAATTATACAATTTTATTAGAAATAGCTAAATTCTTATTATGTCTAGTGGTGCCAGAATAAGGAGAAATTCTTACCTTGTTCCATGCCTCCACAGGCTTCCAATGGTGGTGCAACAGGTAACCCGCAGCAGGGGTGGACTGACAACTCATGGGGCCCCCAGGCAATAGGGGATCATGGGGCCCCTGTGTCCTCACCCACATTCAAACCACACCCAAAAAAGCCTATGAAAGGTACCAGGGACATCTCATGGGGCCCCCTACTGACCCCGGGCCCTCGGGCAGTGCCCGAGTTCCCCAATGGTCAGTCCGCCCCTGACCCGCAGACTTCTTTCTAAGTCTCTCATGGCCATGGTCATGCAGGGTTAATAGCCCTGCATTGTATGTGATGAAGCAGAGAACTGCTTGATGTCTGGAGCTTCAGGAAGAAGGGGGCAGCACTGAAGATGGCCAGAGGAATAGGCTAATGCGTAAGTTTAGGGTTTTTTTAATCAGCATAAGGGATGGTATTTACATTTAATGAGAAATGTCCCTTGTGCTGGTGCTGGCTGCCATAGCTAAAATCCAAAGTCCTCTGCCCCTTGCCCCCTCCATACCCCCGCCTTGTGCTGGTGCTGGTTATCCTATTTAAAATCTTCAGTCCCCGATGCCCATGAAGTGGTATTCTTCTGGTTGCTTGTCCTTTGCATCCCCTCCTCCATTCATAGAAGCTGCACTATTGCTTCCAGCAATGAAAAGCGCTCTATGAAGGGGAAAGGATTTTTAATTCTTCTGTCTGTCCTCCATTCCTAGATCACTTTTCAGTGATAGAAGTGATGGAAGCTATGGTACAGGGGGCAAAAAGGGTGGATTTAGTTGGCACTCTTGTTGATTGCTAATCACAGGTCCAGCGCTTGTAATAACACTTGCTGAAGCAAAAGAATACTACTTTGGAGGTATGGGGGAGGAAGGGGGAGTAGAGGACTGAACATTTCAACTGTGTCAGCCGGCATCAGCACAAGGGACACTTGTCGTTAAGTAAGTACTGTCCCTTATGTTGATTAAAAGGTAAATATATATATATACAGTATATATATATATATGTATATAGTTTTTTTTTTAGTTATAGGCTTTAAAGGATAAGTTCACCTTTCATAACATGTTACATGTTACATATATTCAGGGTGTAAACATGTTATGATCAGACTGGCCCCTACTTCCCCCCCGCTAGATGTCAAATATAAAAACGCGGCCATGTGAGGCTCTGCCCGCCAGGCTGCATCACTCAATAGTTCTCAGTGAATGAGAGACTACAAGTCCGGACATCCTTAGCAGCTGGTGGCTTGTAGTCCTCAATGTACTACCATGTCGCTGTGGAGCACTGTGGTAGTACATTCATTCTTCCTGTCAGTATATCTGCTTGTCCGTACATCTCGTACGAGCAAGCAGACATACTGACAGATCTGCAGGAGACCTGCATCGCACCAGTGATCTGTTGATTCATGGTGCAATGCTTTACAGGTTCCTGCAGATAAAAATGATAAATGCACATTTTTTTTACCCGCAAAAAAAATGTGCATTTATTATTTTTTACTAAAAGGTGAACTTATCCTTTAACCACTTGCCCTCCAGAGACCCCCCCCCCCCCCCCCCACTTCCTGACCAGGCCATTTTTTTGTGATACGGCGCTGCATTATTTTAACTGACAATTGCGTAGTCATGCAATGCTGCACCCAAATTAAATTTAAGTTATTTTTTCCCACAAATAGAGCTTTCTTTCAGTGGTATTTGATTACCTGTGCGTTTTTTATTTTTGCACTATAAACAAAAAAAGACCATTTTGATAAAAAAAAAAAAACAATACTTTTGACTTTTTGCTATAAAACATATCCAGTAAAAATAATTAAAAATCACATTTCTTAATAAATTTAGGCCAAAATGTATTCTGCTACATGTGTATGCTAGAAAAAAAATCCCAATATCTGTGTAAATTATTTGGTGTATAAATTAATAGCGTCTAAAAATGGCGGTATATATCCTGCAAATTTTTTTTTTATACTAGTAATGGCGGTGACCCAGCGACTTATAGCAGAACTGCAGCAGGCATTCTGAATACTGGATGGGAACTGACTAAATGCCAATGACATCCCAATAACACTAATACAGTCATCAGTGCTAATAAAAAAGCACTGACACTGTACTAAATGACACTAGGGCAAGAAGGAGTTGACATCTGGGGGCGATCAAAGGGTTAACTGTGTGCTGTTTTAAAAAAATTTGTGCTGTGGGTGTTTTACTAGGGAAACACACTGCTGGTGCAAGACAGAAAAACACACACAGCAGCATGTTCTTTGCTGGCAAGGATGAGAGTATCTGTGTAGAGGACCGGACTGACAACTCATGGTGCCCACTGGGCAATAGGGGATCATGGGAGCCCATGTGTCCTTGCCAAATCATCAAAAAAAGCCTATGAAAAAAGGTAACCATGGGCATCTCATGGGGCCCCCCCTACTGGCCCCTCGGACCAGATGCCACTCGATTTTCCAAAAAATGTCAGAGTCCCGCCCCTGGAACCTGTGGGTTGTTTACACACATGTCTCTCCCCTGTCAGTGTATACTCGGTAGAGGATCGCCAGGAGCAATCTACTGGCCAAGACCCGTGAGTGACATCATTCGGTAGTAGGGTGGTGCATCGTGCGGTCCCCTACCTGGATACATACAAATCACACCACACATAATATATATATATGATACACAGTATATACGCACACCAATGATTTTGTGACCGCTCTGGCCATCCCTGTAGCAGTTAAGTTCTATTTATAGGGAGGCATGGGAAATGTTTAATAGTTTGGGGGGCTAGCTGCAAACCTTTTCCAAAATTAAAAAAAAATATAGAGCGTGGCAGACTAAGACACCTACAACCCCACCATCCCCACAAATGCGTCCATGGTCCTTCTCAGTATTTTTCTCTATTGTGAGATACATGTTTTACTGGTTTGCGGATGCTTTCGGTTCTGGATGTTTGAAAATGCACTGTTCATCCCTATTCTTATTCCTTGGGAGTATGTACGGGACAGATCAAGAATGGTGACCCAATCAGAACATCTACTGACCCTGTCTCTGCTGTTCCATAGGCTCAGGAACACAGGAAGTGGGAATAGCACTAGTTTTCAAAACCCAGGATTTGCTGCCTGGAGCTACGTGGAGCAAGGAGAACCTGAATCGCCCATAGGAGGTAAAGTGCAAAGTCATCGCGTCCCAAAGGGTGCAGTGGGTGACACAGGGTCATAGGCGAACTAAATTTTAAATAATACTTGCCTGAGCCTGCACCATCTTAAGGCCCAGGGGTGGGACTGACCATTTTTGGAAAACTCGGCGCACTGCCCAAGGGCCTGGGTCAGTAAGGGGGCCCCATGAGCTGCACCCTAGTAACCTTTTTTCACAGGCTTTTTTTGAGTTTGGGGCAAGTACCACAGGGGCCGCATGATCCCCTATTGCCTGGGGGGACCCCATGAGTTAGTCAGTCCGCTCATGTCTCTGACATCCGCCCTGGCATTCCATAAGGTTAAGGAAAAGGAGGAATAGCACAGTTATCAAACCCCGGATTGCTGCCCGGAGCTAAGTGGAACAATGAAAACTTGTAATCGCCCATGGAGAGGTAGTGCACCATCGAGGCCCAGGGGTGGTTGGACAGGGTGTAGGCAAACACTTAATTTTAAATAATCTTGCCTGAGCTTGCACCCACTCTAGCATGTGGCGCGGACTGACCATTTGGGAAACTCGGTCCCTGACCCGAGGGTCCTTGGGTCAGTAGGGGGCCCCTATGAGATGCCGCCTAGTAAACCATTTTCATAGCGGTTTTTTTGAGTTTTTGGGCAAGGAAACAGGGGCCCCCCATGATCACCTATTACCCGGGGTGGGACCATGAGTTGTCAGTCCCGACTCCTGTCCTCTGACCCGTCCTGGGCGTTTCCATAGGTTACAGGAAAAGGGAGATAGCATCAAGTTTTCAAACCCCGGATTGCTGCCGCCCGGAGCGACGTGGAACAAGGAGACTGAACTTCGCCCATGGAGGTAAGTGCAGCGGAGCCCGGGGGTGGGTGACAGGGTGTAGGCTAACTTACATTTTAAATACTCGTTGCCTGAGCCTGTCACCCTCTAGCAGGGGTGGACTGACCATTTGGAAAACATCGTGCACTGCCCACGGCCTCCTGGGTCAGTAGGGGGCCCCATGAGATGCCCCTAGTACCATTTATCCAAACAGGCTTTTTTGAGTTTGGGCAAGGACACAGGGGCCCCATGATCCCCTATTGCCTGGGGGGGCCCCCATGAGGTTGTCAGTGCCGCTCCTGTCTCTTGACAACGCTCCTGCATTCCATATGCTTAAGGAAAAGGAGGAATAGCACAGCTTTTTCAAAACCCAGGATTGCTGCCTCGGTAGACTAAGTGGAACAAGGAAACTGAATCGCACCATGGAGGTTAAGTGCAGCGAGGCCAGGGGTGGTGACAGGGGAGTAGGCAAACACTTAATTTTACATAATCTTAGCCTGAGCTTGCACCCTTCTAGCTATGGGCGGACAGGAACCATTTAGGAAACTCGGGCCCTATCCGAGAGGTCTGGATCAGTAGGGGGGCCACCATGAGATGCCCCCTGGTAGTACCATTTTCCATAGGATTTTTTGAGTTTGGGTCATGGAAACAGGGGACCCCATCGATCCCCTATTCACGGGGAGGACCCATGAGTTGTCAGTCCGCTTCCTGTCTCTGACCCGTCCCCTGCGTTTCAATAGGTTAAGAAAAGGGAGAATCGGCACAGTCTTTCAATACCCCAGGATTTGCTCGCCCGTGCAGCTTCGGTGGACAAGGAGACTGCTGAATCGCCCAGTGGAGGTATGTGCAGCGATGCCGCGGGTGAGTGCGGTGACAGGGTGAAGGCAAACATTAATTTTAAATAATCTAGCCTGAGCCTCTGGCACACCTCTAGCAGATGTTGACCGGATAACTGACCCATTTGACAAAACTCAGGGCACTGCCTCCGATGGGCCCTGGGTCAAAAAAGTAAGGGGGGCCCCATGAGATGCCTCTAGTAAACCTTTTCCATAGGTTTTTTTTTATGAGTTTGGGCAAAGGACACAGGGGGCCTCACCATGATCCCCTATTAGCCCGGGGGCCCCATGATGTTGTCCAGTCCTAACCCCTGCTCCTATAGACATTACCAAGCATTTAACCCTTGCCATGTGGGTGGTGATGCAGATTAATTTCTAATTCCTTAACTTGGATCTTAACCAGACGAAGGTCTGACAATTAATCCTGTCTGTGCCCGCCAACATCCTGCT